GTGGGAAAAACAAAACCACCAAACCCTCGGAGAAGCAGTTAATCAGGGTGAGGGAATAGAAATGAAATGATCAAAAATAGAAAGGGTGGACTGTTTGGTTTTCAAAATGCTGTCTCATTCTGCATCTGGATTGTGGGTGCTTGGGAGGGGTGAGACTCATCTCTGAGAAGAAGATGCCTGGAGCCAGTTCAATGAACATTTTTGTTCACCAGGTGGACATGGAGCACGGAACCGGTGGCTGGAGACACCGGACAAAGGACATTCGTGGCCACCGGTGACCTCCCTGCAAGGAAATTCTTTGCCCCCTCCGGCTACGTGGACCGTTCAGAAATCCAGGCACGTGGGTCACGTGGAGATGGAATAATGTTTGAATCCATGATTATTTTTCAAAGAGGAGATGGATTTGGGGCGTGGGGTTCCCTTGGCAGGAGAGACTGAGAAGAAGATGCCTGGAGCCAGTTCAATGAACATTTTTGTTCACCAGGTGGACATGGAGCACGGAACTGGTGGCTGGAGACACCAGACAAAGGACATCTGTGGCCACCGGTGACCTCCCTGCAAGGAAATTCTTTGCCCCCTCTGACTACGTGGACCGTTCAGAAATCCGGGCACGTGGGTCGCGTGGAGATGGAATAATGTTTGAATCCATGAGTTTTTTTCAAAGAGGAGATGGATTTGGGTCTGGATTGTGGGTGCTTGGGAGGGGTGAGACTCATCTCTGAGAAGAAGATGCCTGGAGCCAGTTCAATGAACATTTTTGTTCACCAGGTGGACATGGAGCACGGAACCGGTGGCTGGAGACACCGGACAAAGGACATTCGTGGCCACCGGTGACCTCCCTGCAAGGAAATTCTTTGCCCCCTCCGGCTACGTGGACCGTTCAGAAATCCAGGCACGTGGGTCACGTGGAGATGGAATAATGTTTGAATCCATGATTATTTTTCAAAGAGGAGATGGATTTGGGGCGTGGGGTTCCCTTGGCAGGAGAGATGTGGCACCAAAAGGTCACCCTCAGGCCGTGGAGAAGAAGGTGTTGAGATGTGAGAGGGCGCAAGGGAACAAATGGTCCCTTCCAACTCTAAAAATTCAGTGAAATCCAGTGAAATTCAGTGAAAACTCACTGGCAGCGACTACATTTAGGGGGGATTAGATCATCTCCTGGATCATCACCGACTGCATTAGATGATCTTTAAGGTCCCTTCCAACAACTACATTTAGGGGGGACTAGATCATCTCCTGGATCATCAGCAACTGCAGACCCGAGGGGGGGGTCATTGAGGACGTTTTGGTTTCAGCCAAGATATTCCTGGGATCAGCAGGAGATTCTGGCACCAGCTGAAGCCTCAGGAAGTCTGAGGGGGGGTTGAAAACTTCTGAAAAATCATATTTTTGTGTTCAAATTCAACGGCTACGTGGACCGTTCAGAAATCCAGGCACGTGGGTCACGTGGAGATGGAATAATGTTTGAATCCATGATTATTTTTCAAAGAGGAGATGGATTTGGGGCGTGGGGTTCCCTTGGCAGGAGAGATGTGGCACCAAAAGGTCACCCTCAGGCCGTGGAGAAGAAGGTGTTGAGATGTGAGAGGGCGCAAGGGAACAAATGGTCCCTTCCAACTCTAAAAATTCAGTGAAATCCAGTGAAATTCAGTGAAAACTCACTGGCAGCGACTACATTTAGGGGGGATTAGATCATCTCCTGGATCATCACCGACTGCATTAGATGATCTTTAAGGTCCCTTCCAACCCAAACCATTCTATGATTCTACAACTAAACGAGTGGTGGATGCCATTTTCTTGACCGTCGCTGCAGAGAGGCTCTGGAACAACCTCCCAGATGGGAAAATGGTGGAAAACTTACCCATTTTTGGGTGGAAAATAGCTCCCTGGAGCATTATTTGGACCTTGTTGAGTGGATCACAAGAGATTTGCACCAATGTCAACGTGAATACAGCCGTGGGGCAGGAGCTGCAGACCCAAAGGGGGGGTCATTGAGGATGTTTTGGTTTCAGCCAAGATATTCCTGGGATCAGCAGGAGATTCTGGCACCAGCTGAAGCCTCAGGAAGTCAGGGGGGGTTGAAAACTTCTGAAAAATCACATTTTTGTGTTCAAATTCAATCAAGAGAGTATCGATCAGTGCGGGATATTGCACTGAGAGAGGAGGGAACAAGGCTGCGTGGACAAGAGACATCCCCAAGCCCAGGTTTAAACTGGGATGCAACTGGGAAGCCTCTTCGCGTGCTGAACCTGCAGGGCAAGTTGGGCAAAATGGGGAGAAATAGGCCAAAAATAGGGAGAGCCGCCCTCCCCCCCCGCCCCCATGTGGGGTTCTGGCCTCTCTGCCAGAGGGTGTTTCCAAATGACCGTCCTGGCCACCCCAAAAAGGGTGACAGCGGGAATCATCGCCCTCCCTGGGAAATGTCACCGTGTCCTTGGGGATCCACTCGGGCCATCGTGGAGCTGGTGTCCCCGAGGGATGCTCCTCTGAAAGGGGTATCTGCATCAGTTGAGGATTAGGCCTTTGGTCTTAAGAATCACAGAATCATAGAATGGTTTGGGTTGGAGGGACCTCAAAGATCATCTAGTTCCAACCCCCTGCCATGGGCAGGGACACCTCCCACTAGAGCAGGTTGCTCAAGGCCCCATCCAGCCTGGCCTTGAACACTTCCAGGGATGGGGCAGCCACAACTTCCCTGGGCAACCTGTTCCAGTGTCTCACCACCCTCAGAGTAAACAATTTCTTCCTGAGATCTAATCTGAATCTTTTTTCTTCCAATTTAAAACCGTTTCCCCTTGTCCTATCATAGAATCATAGAATCATAGAATTGCCCAGGCCAGAAGGGACCTCCAAAGGTCATCTAGTCCCACCTCCCCGCAGTCAGCAGGGACACCCCCAACTAGACCAGGTTGCCCAGGGCCTCGTCGAGCCTCTCCTTGAATATGTCCAGGGAAGGGGCCTCAACCACCTCCCTGGGCAACCTGTTCCAGTGCTCCACCACCCTCCCAGTGAAGAACCCTCTCCTCATCTCCAGTCTAAATCTGTTCAGCTTGAAGCCATTTCCCCTCGTCCTGTCACTCCAGGCCTTTCTAAACAGGTTCTCCCCAGCCTTCCTGTAGGCCCCCTTCAGGTACTACACCTCCTGGCAAAGAGTCCCTCCCCAGCTCTTCTATAGGCACCCTTCAGGTGTTGAAAGGCCGCTATAAGGTCTCCCTGGAGCCTCCTCTTCTCCAGGCTGAACAATCCCAGCTCCCTCAGCCTGTCTTCATAGGAGAGGTGCTCCATCCCTCTGATCATCTCCGTGGCCCTCCGCTGCACCTGTTCCAGCCGGTCCATGTCCTTTCTGTGTTGAGGACTCCAAAGCTGGACACAGTTATTCCAGGTGGGGTCTCACGAGTGCAGAGCAGAGGGGCAGAATCACCTCCCGAGACCTGCTGGCCACACTTCTCCTGATGCAGCCCAGGACACGGTTGGCTCTCTGGGCTGCCAGCGCACACTGCCGCCTCATGTTGAGCTTCTCGTCCATAAGCACTCCCAAGTCCTTCTCCTCAGGGCTGCTCTCCAGCCATTCTCCACCCAACCTGGATTTGTGCCTGGGGTTGCCACGTCCCAGGTGCAGGACCCTGCACTTGGCTTGGTTGAACCTCATGCCATTTGCACGAGCCCACCTCTCCAGCCTGTCCAGGTCCCTCTGGATGGCATCCCTTTCCTCCAGCGTGTCAACTGCGCCACCGAGCTTGGTGTCATCAGCAAACTTGCTGAGGGTGCACTCTATCCCACTGTCCATATCTCCAACAAAGATGTTGAATAGTACTGGTCCCAGTACCGACCCCTGAGGAACACCACTCGTTACTGGCCTCCACCTGGACATCGAGCCGTTGACTGCCACCCTTTGGGTGCAGCTGTCCAGCCAGTTCCTTATCCACCGAGTGAGTGGTCCATCCATGGAATCCGTGGGTTTCCAATTTTGAGACCAGGATGTTGTGTGGGACAGTGTCAAAAAGAACTTTGCTTGTTCTTTAGCTCCCCTCGCAGCTCAGTGATTTCAGCCGTCGGGATTTGCCCCCAGCGGCCAAAAAAAACCCCCACGCAGCCATCATTAGGCTCCAGAGTGAACACTCCCCCCCCCCCTCACCAGGAGGCGGAGAGCGGCAAGCCCCGCCCTTCTCCATTCTGGCCCCGCCCCTCTCCCTTCTGCCCTCGCCCCTCCCGCTGTGATTGGTCCGCTTCGTGGATGGGGGAGTAGGCGGGGCTTAGGGACGTGCAGCGGAGGGGGTGGGGTGTGCGTGCGTGCGTGCGTGGGGCGGGAGCGCGCGGGCGCGGTGTGAGGCGCCGGGAGCGCGAGGGCGGGGGGGGGTGGAAGAAGGAGCCCGGCCCTGAGGGGAGCGGCGGCACCACCACCACAGACACCGAAAGCTCACCCAGCCCCTCTGCGCCTCACCGGGGCTCCGCGCCTCGGCCCTCACGCTTCTATCCCGCTGCCTTCGCTCAGGGGAAGGAGTGAGACGAGGGGGAAGGGGTGCGGAAAGTAAGCGAAAGCGAGAAGGGTCGCGGGTCCCGCCGCGGGGAACGGAGCGGAGCTCGGGGCGGCGGCGGCGGCGGAGGCTCCTCCATCATGTCGGCGGGCGGGGACTTCGGCAACCCGCTGCGGAAATTCAAGCTGGTGTTCCTGGGAGAGCAGAGCGGTGAGTCACCGCCCGGGCCCGGCTCGGTTCGGGTCTCCCCTCACACGGTGGGGGCGGGCGCCTCCCTTACCCCTTGTGGGGGCATCAACCCCCCCCCAACTCTCCTTCCTCATCCTCCGGTGTGTGTGTGGGGTGGGCTGTGTTATAACCCCATATTCTGAGGGAAAAAAGGGGGTGTCGTGTCCTCCCCACCCATTTCCCCGCCGTTTTGGGTGGGGTGTGGGGGGCTGTGGGGTTAAAAAAACCCCCTTTGCAGAGGCTGCTCTTGCCCCGTGCTCCTTGGGTGACAGGGGAAGGATGGAGCGCGGTTCAGTTGGGGTTTTCAAAAAGGAAAAAAAACCCAAAACCCACCAAAAAACCACCAAACCCCAACGGCCACATCTCTAGAAACAGTTGCTGATTCATTTGATCCCAGCTCCTATTTTTTTTTTTTTTTTTCTTAGGGGGCAGGAGTCCCAATGGCGGGTGTTTTCTGTGTAAAATCCAGCATTTTTCCAAGAGGGAGTCGGGTCTGGGAGAAGCTGATCCAAAGCTCTAAATATTTAATTCAGTCAGGGAGGTTTTTCTTCTCTGTCTTTGGAGTAAAAAAAAAATAAAACCAAACAAACCACCCCCCAACCCGAACGGCGTCTCCTCCTTCCTCAGGAGAAGGCCTCTCTCTCTCTCATTTCAAATCTTGCACTTTAGAGAGTTCTCTGGAGAAAAAAAAACAACAAAAAAAGCTAATTTAGTAGGTGCTTTGTGTAATCCTGGTGAGATATCGAGCGATCTTTGACATAATGAGTAGGTGCAAAATATTCTCTGTCTCAGGGTGGGGTATTTGCTCCCTCAGCCACCTTTGGTCTCTGTGTGGTAGGAGATGATGAAATCCTAGTCTTTTTTTTTTTTTTTTCCTCCCAAATGGCTTATATCTTGGTGTTTCCTCACTCATATGCAGATGAGCTTGGTGATAAGGCTGCTATTAAAATTATTTTTACCTATACATTGGCAGTTTACTTTAGTCTGCTCCTTCCGTCGTCTTTCTTTTTTTTAAGAAAAATAATATATTTTAATTTTTTTTGGTGTTGGAGCAGCTCCTCGTCATATTAGGGATTCAGGGAGCACAAGTTAAACTTGGGGTGTTTTTTTTGGGGGTAAGTCACCTGATGTATTTGGTGAGGTGCTGTTTGGCCAGCCATTTTATGAGGATTTTGGAAAAGGGTCAATGTATAGAAGATGCTGGTTCGGTGTTGGTTTGTTGTATGTTTTGTGGTGTTTCTTTTTTTTCCTCCTAAGGTATTTGGTAACAGGAATCTTAAGTATTAGCTGTGCATTTTCAAAATGCTTGGCTTGTTTTACTGTATTTCTGAGCTTTGATTTGGCGAAGCTTTTCGACTACCTCCGTGGAAGGCAGTAGCACCTGGTGCAGACCTTAAAATCTCAGCAGCTTTTAGTTTCCACGTGGATTTCTTGTCTATTCTAGCAGACATCACGTCAGATATCTGCTGCTTCTAGTCTCTGCATTTTTTTTCTTCTCAGCTAATTGTGTTTCTACTGGAAGGTTTCGAATAATTCCCGTTCATAGCAGCAAATCTAGGGTGGAGAGGAGGGGTTTTATGGGTATAACACAGCAAAATATTCCTAACTAAATACCCGTAGCACCGTAAGTGCTGTCTTCACCGTGGTTTATGGATGGGTTGAAGCTGATTTGAATGTGGCTGGTCAGGGCCCTGCTGGCAGCTGCGGTGTGGGTTTCAGACCTGCCTTTGTCTGGGATCCTGGGCGATGACTCCGTGACTGATCCGCTCTCAACCCGGTTGCCAAACGTGGCCCCTCGGTGTGGCCACACAGCCCACGGGTGCTGCAGCGTGGGCATCCTCCCACCCAACACCCAGACAATTCTCAGCTCTGATGGAGAAACAGCTTTTTTCTAAATTCGGCTTGAATCTCTTAAGATACTGCTGTCATGATGTCATTCTCTGTAATTTTTAAATTTATTTATATTTTTTTTTAACTGTCCAAAGGGTGAATAGCTCCCATTACACATCCTGGAAGAATAAATACACTAATAATGTTCTTCTCTATGATGGAGATAATTACAGAAGCGTCTCCGATGCCGCAAAAGGGAGTCGGAGTGGGCTTTGCTTACACGTAGCTCCCTTTGTCGTTCTTTGTTTTGAAGGTTAAGGGAAATGCAGAAATAAAGTTTTTCTTTTTTTAGAATAGCAGCTTTCATAAACGAGAAGATCTCTTTTGTACAACTGTTGCGCTGGATTGCTGCATTCCCTTCCTCTTCAGCTAAAAGCTTGTCTGCCCTGTTGGAAGGCCGTAATTAAAGATATCCTCCTGCTGCTGCTGGGGAGGCTGAAGGCTTCTGTTTCATTTACATTCAGGGGCTTCAGAATGACAAATGAAATGTTATGAAGGGGCTCCCGTGTTTGATTAAGCTGCCTCGGCAACCGAAGCTGGCAAATATCAGACCTTCTGTGCTGACTGTACGTGGTCTCCTCAAAAAAATGGGAATGTTATGGCTGAGAAATTCTTAACCGGAGTTGGTTGCTGCGTGGGCGTTAGAGCCCTTCCACGCCATGGTGTGAGAGAAAAGGCAATTACCATTCCCTGTGAGATCTGGAAGCATCTCGAGGTGTTTTATTCTTACTTGGAAGTGGGATTGCACAGTGGATGCAGTGTTTGATTTTTTTATTTATTTATTTTTTTAGCTGCTATCCTCAGCCATATTGTGGGAGTTCGATGCCGTATACCTAGGCGTTCGTGTGGACTGCAGTGATTCTTCCTAGTTACCCCGTTCATCGCCAGCTGCAGATTCCCTTTCCTATGCTAAAATGCTGATTTATATTTTTTAAAAGCCCCTTCTTTCCTTCCTCCCTGATCCCCCAAATCTTCTTGTCTCCCGTGTCCCTTCTACCCTCTGCCTTTATTGCGCCAGCTCCTCGAGCTGACACACCGCCGCAGCTCCCCCGGCCCCGTGTCCTGTTGGTGATGGCGTGTGGGGGCTAAATGACATCGGGGTCACTCGGGGCTCCTTTCAGGATTTACTGCAAGTCATTGCTTCTCCATAGCAATCTGGTTCTTGTGTCCCCCACGCCCCTCCCCAGCCCAGCCTGGCTACTTGCCGCATGTCCAGCGAATTCATCACCAGCCTGCGACGTAAGCCGTGTCCAGCTAGAAGAAGCTTCTCTTTCTTATTTTTATTATTTTTTTTTTTAACTCATAGTACAAGGATATAGCATCGGGTGGCTAGCAAGGAGGCAGCTCCGCCAGCGCTTGCCTTAATTGAATTACTTTTCTCAATGATGGAAGATTATACAGAGTTTAGCAGTTTTAAATATGCTAATCTTTAATGAAAAGGCAGAAGAGAGCTCTGTGCTGAGGGATTTAGATAGAGCTATTGTGGTGGTGGGGGAGAGGATGCTTCTCACTGCCTTTGATCTTGTTTTATCAGGTGATTTTCATCAGTCTTAATGCCTCAAGTTTACAAAATTGTGATTTCTGGGTCACAGCACCTGTGCTATAGGCTAGCCTGCAGTAAATACGGTATATATTCAAATATTAATAACATCTTTAGTTTTATCTTGCATATGAGCAGCTTTGCTACTTAATACATTGATTTTATTTTTTTTTTTTGATTGAGGGAGCAGAACTGAATGCTGGGGCACTGCAACAGAAATATTCTTTCATCACATGGGTTTATGCTGCAGCTTTTATTGGCGAGCAAGTCTGAAGGGCATTAACATGTACAGAAAGCAAAATAAGTCCCCGTTGTCTCTTTCTTCTGGCATTTCTGCATTGCCTGAGATCTTAAAAAATGCTAATTTGTTCTAATTTTCCTTATCGGGAACCAAGATATTTTTTTTAAACGTTGAAAAACCTGATAAGCACAGTATAATAACTTGAGGAATATAACTGTGTGGAAAGCACTAATGAACGCTACGGTTGCGTAACGATGTTGGTACAGACACTGCTGAACAGTGTGATGTGTCTTATTAGATAACTGGAGAACTGCAGGTGGGTTGTGTGTAACATGAAGCTGGTGTAACACTGGTCACAGTTCAGCCCGTCTGCAGAGACTGGCATCCCTGTGCAACATAACACTCCCTGCTTTTTAAGGAATCCTCTGCTTTGTGAGCTCCAGAGAGCTATTAGTTTGTCCCACTGGTGGTTTAAAAATCTTATCCCCTTCCCTCCTGTTAATTTCCGAATGTCTTGGTTTTCCTGTGGGCGGGTCTTCAGATATTTGGGTTTATATTTGGACTATATGCGTTTTTCCATGAGTCATTGAACTTCATTTTCTTGGGTACATCTGGAAGCTGAATGTTGTCCAGGTTCTTTCTCTTCTCCATCTCTGAAATAGCCCTTTCAATAGCAGTGTCTAAAAGAAGCACGTTTGACTTGGAGGAAAAGACTGAAATGTCTTTTTTTCAAAGGAAGAATAGCCACACCTTTCTGCACTTTTCTGTGTATATCTGAGAAATAATTTGTGAACCTGGAAGGAAAGGATCTTTTTAGCCCTTGATTTAAAACAATGGATTTTATATCTGCAGCAAAGTGGGGTGTTTGGTGATATTTTGGCACTTTCTTGGCACGTGATCCAGCTGATGTCTGAGGCTTTTACTGAAGCTGTAAATGGGACTAACAGAGAAACGAAGGTGAGGAACTTCATCTGAGGCCACTTCAGCAGAAGATCTAGCATTTGGAAATTATCAGAGCCAACAGTTGTCAGCCTTTCTTCTCCACTTCACCCATCGTAATCAGTTTGTGAGGAAATAGCTGCCTTCCTATTTACCTGGTGATTTAGTCCAGGAGTTTGAAGGCATTTATTGTGTTCAATATTATTATATTATTGTGCTACTGATTTAAAAACAAAACCAAAAACCAAGCTGAGAAACCACCAAACCAAGCAAACAAAAGCTCTCAATGGTTTGAAACATGGCTCAAAATAAATCAAAGTCTTGACACAAACACCATCAGATTTCTCAAGACAAGCTCCAAAACTCACCTGT